TATGAAAACGTGAAAAATGTTACATAGGACATTTTGCTCTTGTCAGGTGTACATTGGACATGTTATTTAGGACGTTTTGTTATAATCACAGTTACATAGGTCATTTATGTTTTCAACATTATTTGTTTGTTTTTAAGAATTATGAGTGCATAATTTAAGTTATACGAGTTAAACGAACAATATGAGTATTGGACAATATGCATCAACTTTTTTTTAACGGTTTATCGCAACACTGCCCACAGATTGTTTTGGTCGATCGTTGGTGGTCGCGTGAGCTGCTTTTTATTTAATAACAGTGTTATTTTAGGGGCTGTTCATTAACTACGTAGACAGCTTTTCAGTATTCTTGACCCCCCCTCCCCATGTGTAAATTATTGCCCATATAAAAATTTAAAAATTTGAATGGTTCGTGGATAATTGTAACCACCCCCCCCCCCCCGCGGAAATAGTAGAAAAATGCTTGACATGAAAATTCCGATTTACACAATCACATTGTTTTGGTTTGTTTGAACATTTTAGACGTTTTACTCGTATAAACACAAAGGACCGAAGTACAGATCTGCATTGTTTTGGTTTTCCTGATATTTCAGACGTTTGTCTTGATGAACATAGTTAAACGTCTTATGTAACCGTGAAACATCGTTAATGCAAATTTGGTCACAGACAGTTTGATTGCTCGGACCCATACGGACGTTATCTACACAGATCTTACGGCAGCCTTCGATAAGCTGAACCACGAAATTGCGATCGCTAAGCTTGATACTCAAAACTAACATAACTCTAGCTCTAAAATCATCCCGATACTCACGCTTATTCAATGCACTTAAAGTCATAAAGTAGCGGCGCCGGTGGTGTAGTGGTAAGCGTGATTACCTCTCACCCCAGCAGGCCTGGGTTCAATCCCAGTCGGCGCCACCGGGATGTTCTGAGGCATAACATCTCTGATCACACCTTCCTTCGGAAGGGAAGTAAAGCCGTTGGTCCCCGGTTTATGAGTTGATGAGTCGATAGGTAGGGTCCAGGTGTGGGAACTGCCTTCATGGCGTCGGTAGCATTGGTGCTCAGCACGGAAAACAAGATCGACGGAAAACAAACCAAAGGAAAAAAAAAGTCATAAAGTAGTTTTATTTATTTTCTGTGGACGGACAATTCCAAAAGCAAACCTAAAATACCAAGTGCATGCTAATATCATATTTCTGATATAAAACAGTGAGCGCGCAACTTCCGAGGTGAACAGACGCGCTTTTGTTAACGTTCTGTGGAAGTCGACTTCGCGATGGGCCGTCGAGAAAACACCTTTCGTATAGATTTTTGCGAACGTGCCGAAGAAACCGGATAATACCAAAGTGCACAAGTTCTGCGCGACCATATTAGGTCTAAAGCTAGGTGAAGTGCTACGGATCCAAAACAGTAGAGCCCTCGGTGTTTCCTTCGTAAAAGTTGTCGACCTAGCTTTGGCGCAACGAATTTGCGAGGAACGCGACAACAAGCACGAGATTGCAGTCAACGGGAAAAAGTATCCGTTGAGAATCACACTGGAGGAGGGAGCAGTGGATGTGAGGCTGTACGATTTGTCTGAGGACGTATCGGATCTAAAAATCGCCGATTTCCTAGGAAGATACGGTGACGTCATCGCAGTACGAGAGCAGCGAAATGGAACCGAAGTCGATTTTCCTGGCATCTCAGCCGGTGTTCGTATGGCGAAAATGGTCGTTGAAAGGAACATTGAGTCGTGGGTCACGATAGACGGGGAGATGACACAAGTGTCGTATTTCGGGCAACGTCAAACTTGCCGACACTGCCGCGAATACATCCCCGTAGGAGCTACCTGTGTGCAGATGACGTACCACCACCGGTCGACACTAATGAAAATTTTCCTACGTTAGCCACTACCTCGGCTTCGCTTCACCCATCGGATAGCGGGCCGTTGATCCCCTCTACAGGTCAACAGCCCCCTGCTAGTGGCGGAGTGAATCGCAAAACTGCTAGTGGTAAGTCCGATGGAAACAGCTCCAAAAGACATCTCCGCACTCGTCCACCAGGCAAGAAGTCTCGAGTGGAGAACGACGACAGGAGTAACCGACCGTCCTAATGGCTGAGTTCTCCAGTTATAACCTCGCATCTATCAACACCAACAACTTCACGAACGCAACGAAGATCGACGCACTTCGGTCTTTCGTACGAACGCTGCAGCTGGACATCGTTTTTCTTCAGGAGGTGAAAAATGAGCAGCTCTCTCTCCCTGGCTTCAACGTTGTCTGCCATGTGGATCACGCGATGCGGAGAACGGTAATCGCACATAAAAATCACATACAATTTTCGCATGTCGAGAAGAGCCTGGATGGCCGCCTCATTGCTTTGAGGGCGCAAAATACGACTCTCTGCAACGTCTACGCACCATCGGGGACAGCTGTTCGAGAGAGAGGTTTTTCAACGGCACGATCGCTTACTACCTTCGGTTCAACACGCAACACGTCATCCTTGCCGGTGATTTCAACTGCGTGCTACGTCCGAGTGACTCTACGAGTGCCAACTCAAGTCCACCCAGACAACCAGAAGTCGTATAATAATGTACAGACAGTATCGTAAATTGCTACAGTTTTAGTCAAAATCGCATATACGAATGGCATACCTCGCATTATGTATAAGTTAAATCGTATAGAATGCAAATTTCCGACCGATATGCGATGACTCATTTTTCCATCGTACTGTATCACAAATTAAATCGGATTACATCGTAAGACTTTTCAAAATGAATTTGTTATTACAGATTGAATCGTATATGATGTTAAATCAACTCGTTTAAAATAAAATTAAAATATGCACGTATATGGCCTCCACTTTTGTACGTATAAGCCATTTCTTTGCATTATATACGAATTGTTTGCTTGTATATATGTTTGTATATCACGAAAACAACTTTGAATATACATGCATTCTGGTTGTCTGGGCAGCTCTCCAGGCGACCGAACGGCAGCTGCAGCTACACGACATATGGTTAAAACTGTACCCCACAAACCCCGCACCCACGTACGTCACTCACAATGCGGCATCCAGTCTCGACCATATGTATGTCAGCGCTGGGCTATGCGAGCATCTGCGAAGCGCTGCCACGCACGTATGTTCATTTTCCGACCACAAGGCTCTTAACAGCATGAATTTGCCTTCCCGACCTCGGCCGCGAACAAGGACGTGGTTTTTGGTCCCTCCGCCCTCACCTTTTGACTGCCGCAAACATTGACGATTTTTTAAGTCCGGTGGCAGTTTTGGACCCGCCAACGGAGGAACTTCCCCAGCTGGATGGCATGGTGGCTTTCATACGCGAAGCCAAAAATCAAGTCGTTTTTCCGCTGGAAGTCGAACGAAGCATTCAGCATCTATAACGCTGAACACCAACGTCTGTACACGCAGCTACGACTCGCATATGATGTGTACTATCAGAATCCCACCATGCTGGTGACTATCAACCGCGTAAAAGCGCAAATGCTGATGTTGCAGCATTTCGAACAACACATGTTCCGATGCTTCAGGGACCTGTATGCGGCTGGAGAGGCGAGGCAGGTTGGGGAAGAAACGTTTATAAACGAGAGAGTCCTACCCGAGAACGACGAAACCAACGATGCTCTAATGGCAGAGATCACTATTGAAGATTTGAAAAATGCCTTCCGAACATCTCCTGGCCTGCCGGTAGAGTTCTACCCACGAACATTCGACGTCATCTATCGGGAGCTGTGCTTCGTAATACATGACGAATGAGCTCCCCTCGGAATTCACCGATGGCACAATCGTGCTGGTCAAAAAGAGAGGTGGCGATGAGACAGCGAGAGTATACCGTACGATTAACCTGCTCAACGTCGATTATAAAATTCTTAGCCGTGTGATGAAGGCCCGTTTGGAACGCGACCGCTCTATTTTTCAAGCTACACTCTCGATCAAGGACCGTATGGCCCAGCTTATCGCCAGAAAACAGAAAGGGAAGCTGATCTCGTTCGACCTAGACCGGGTCTCTCATGGGTTTCTTCATCGAACCCTTCTCTCTCTGGGTATCAATCATGATTTCGCCGGCTGGCTCTCGAGTGGCCGATACCTCTTCATCACGACTGTTAGTGAATGGGCACCTTTCACAGTCGTTCCGCATAGAACGATCCGTACGTCAGGGAGATCCGATGTCGATGCTGCTCTTTGTGCTCCACCTCCATCCCCTCCTCACACGGGTGGAGCGTGTGTGTGGCGGTGATCTTGCGTACGCTGACGATATCACGGTGATAGCAACATCAACGCAAACAATTGAACGGATCTTTCAGCTGTTCGACAGCTTTGAAGTCGTTTCCATAATACTACCGCAATGTATCCACACGGCAAAGCTGACAGCTGACAATGGGGACTTTCCTGATTGGCAGCACGTGTCCCAATGCAACAGCTGGCGCGCAGTAAAGAGCATGGAGGACTAAAACTGCAATTGCCAGCGATCAAGTGCAAAGCGCTTCTCGTCAATCGCCATCTTCAAGAGATCGATTCCCTTCCCTATTGTCAGTCCCTTCTTGCCCAAAATATTCCTCCCCCTGCCGATGCCGATCTTCCCTGCCTAAAACTCCTCTCTAAGCAACCCCACCAGCGATCAAATTCACCGCTTCTATCTGGAGCAAACCGAGATACCAAAAGTGGAACGGAACCAGCCAGGCCTGAACTGGAAGAAGATATGGGCAAACATTTCATCAAGAAGACTGTTATCGAGCCAGCGCAGCGATCGCTACTTGCTAGTGAACGAAAAAACGGAGCACCGCAGACTGATGAACATCATCGGATGTGCAAACGACCCGTATTGTCAGCGTAATTCTACTTAGAATTTTGTGGGTTTCGCCAGACACTCCCTAAGTAGTGTCTTAAACCTTTAACCTGTAGAATAGAATTCATGTAGAGCCGCCTCTAACCTGGAAAACATTTCAAAACAATTAACAGGAATTTTCGAAGTCAGTCAACTGTTACACTGCTTAATAATATGTGGGAGATAAATATATTACCTATCATACGAGAAGTTTATAAAATTAAGGAGCTTGAACTTTCGACTGCTATTTGACGTATCTGATATACCAATCATTATTCTAATTGTTTAAATAGTAGCAATATCCAGCACAGTACGATCTATATTCCCTCTCTAATTAATTCCTAACCTTTCGCTTTGCTACACGAACCTACAAACAGCTGGACTCCGAGTTTTGAAAGCTTCAACGACTGCGTTTTCTTTGCGGGATTAAAAATGAACCAGCATTGGAAATGTGATGAAAAACAAGTTTATCCTTAAAGCAAAACTTAACCGGCACTATTTACAACTTACGTGACGTATAATCTTTTGCAACAAACCATTCACAATCCAGCAGAAAGCTCCATCTTTCGCTTTATTGCACCCTCGAAAGCATTCCACCGAGAAGCAGACGATTATCACATTTAGAAACACTTGCCACCACTCGCGTCATACCCACTACGACGATCCTGTCCCGACGTCAACTCCAGGGAGTCGTCCATAGTTGTAGTCGTCGTCGTCGTCGTCGCCACACGAGTCGACTACAACTGCTTCCCGGCGGCAACTTGCCGCAGCAGGTCGTCAATCTGCACCTTGTACATCTCCTTCACGTCCACCAAGTCTAGCTTCAGTTCTTCGATCTTCTCGACCGCCTCGCCGTATAGCTGCAGCAAGGCATCGTAGCGTTCCTGTAGCTGTTGGAACTCCTCCTCCAGCTGGGCAGCGCGTTCCGATTTTTCGCGGATCTAGGTAGAATAGGGTCCAGTGTTATCGATTAGAATTTTGGCAACAAGCCTCCGCAGTTAAACGGATAGTAAAATACTCACCATGTCCAGTTCCGCGGTCAGGTTGGAAATCTCCGCATTCAGTACGTTCCGTTCCTGCTGGAAGCGCGACAGTTCCCACTGCAGCTGGTAGACTTCGCCGTCCCGTTGCTTCAGGGTGGCCTGGAGGTTCTCCAGCAGTGAGGTTGTATGCAGAAGCGGAGCTCCTCCGATCGTTTGCCGACCGCTGTTGGATCCGGCGTCGTCATCCATCTGATTCCACGGGATGCTTCCGATCGATTCCGGCAGCGACAGGTTTCCCATGCTGGGTGTCGGGGAAGAAGTTCGAGATGATTCGCCGAGGATTCCGAGAGCCTGCGACGGTGACGGAGGAGACTGCCGGTTCGCTTCGTGCTTGGGGTGGTGATGTTGGGACGCTTGGTGCGGCTGCTGCTGTTGCTGTTGTTTGATGGTATCGAGTTGTTCCTTTTGCTGCGCTATCTTCCGGTCCTGTTCCGCAGTATTGGACTCCAGTTCCAAAAGTTTACCACGGTAGGATTTCCGTTCGTCTTCGAGGTTTTTCAGCTTGAGTTTGTGATCACTCTCAAGCAGGTCCATTTCGATCTGCTTCTGCTGGAGGTTGTTGGTCAGCTCTTCGGATTTGAACAGGGCGGCAGTCAGCCGTTCTTCGAGATTGGAAATTCGTCCGTTTAGGGTGAAGATCTGCTCCTTTAGCGTTCGCTCGTTATCTCCGAAGGCTTTGGACTTTTCCAGGGATTCGTCCAGTTTGCGAATGATGTCCGATTCGCGTTGCTCCCAGAGTCGTTCCTTATTCCGGAGGCCATTCTGGAGGGATTCGATCTGCTTTATTAAAGGAACGGTGACCATTGCAGTGGCATTCTTCTCTTCCTCAGCTCGAGTCTCGGTTTCCTCCACGCGCAACAAAAGATCCGAATTCTCGTTCTTCAACCGCTGGATTCGATGGGCGTGTTCCGCTTCCGCTCGCCGTAGCTTCTCCCGTAAATCGTCCAACTCTGTGCTGATTTGTTCGTTCACCCTCTGGATATGACTGTGTTCCGATTCCATCGTGGCCAGCTGGGAAGATTTCTTCACCAGATCCTGATAGGCTTCCGACTTTTCGGTGAGTTCTTTCTTAGCAAAGTCGAAGCTTTTCTTCAGCGTCTCCAGCTTTTGAGTATGATCATCCAGTTGGCTCTTCAGCGAACCGTTGTCTTTTTCGAGTTTTCGCTTCTCCGAGGATAGTTTGTGAACTGCATCGATTTGGGATCGCTCGACCTCCTCTTTGGCGGACAGAGAACGCTTCAATCGCTCCGTTTCATCTGTTAAATCACCAATGTCTTCCTTAAGCTTCTTGATCAGTGCTTCGTTGTCCTTCTCCTTGAGTCGAAGCTTCTTGATAATGTTGGAATGGTTCAGGACTTGTTTGGACAGATTCTCGCCTTCCTTCTTGAGTTCTTCGATCATAAAGTCCTTATCGCTAATAACCTTGTCCATCTCGGATCGATTCATTTTTCCCTGGGCTTCCGACCGGATTGTGTCGACTTGACGCTTCAAAGCCTCCCGTTCCCGAATCGACTGCTGGAACTTCTTCTCCAGTGCTGATAATCTCTGTGTGTACTCATCCGATTCTGTGCTATCGGCACGTCTCTGTTTCGATTCCAGCTGAGCAGTCAGCTGACAGTTCTGTTCATGCAGTTCCGCATTCTGTCGGCCAAGTTCCAGCAACCGAAACTCCCTCTGTTCCAGGATCTCCGAGATTTCCGTTATCCTTCGCATCAACTTTTCCGCCTCGCTCAAATCGTCACTGTTTCCGCTCTGCACTGACACCTCCGACGGTTCCCGCGTATGTCCTCGTTTCTTGATCATCAATATATCTATGTTGCTCTTACCATCAGTGATCTTTAGAGGACTGGCCCGGTAGGCGCCACTATTGGTGCTGCTAGAATCTCCATTCGGGCTCGATATGATCTCAATATCCGACGACGTGGCCGTCTCAATCTCATCCCCGGAATTTTGCGATGATGTTCCTTCCTGCTGTTTCGGTTCCGCTAGCAACGGTACCTGTGCAGCTGCAGGAATCTCTTCAAAACTATGCGTTGAGTCGGAAATCTGCGTCTGAATCTCTACATTCTCGTACGACTTGTCCAGATGCTCGTCAGACTGTCTGCTAAGCTTCTCGATCGACGTCAGCGTTGTTTCCGAATCATTCGACTCTTCCGTTTCGCACCCGGATACTTCTGAGAACGTCATCTGCCTCGAAATCGTCGGTTTCTCCAGACTCAAATGCAAACTACTTCTACTCGGGGCCACCGTTATGGGAACTCCTCCCTCGCCCGTTTCCATCACCGTAATTGGCTGTTCCGACAAGGTGTACGACACCTCGGAATCTTCCTCCACGCTGATGTCATCATCGACCAGCTCCACCGAGGTAAACTTCATATCGTCCCCATCAATTGAGCTCCGGTCCATCGTAGTTATCGAATCCGGAGTCGAAACACTGGAAGGCGTCCCTTGAACCTTGATCACCTCCACCGATTCCGATTCCTGTCCAATGGTTGGCCCCGAACTGGGCGACGTTAGCGCCGATCCCGGCGTCGTCACCGGACTCAGCAGTTCAATCGACTCCGAACTAGCCTCCGGTGAGCCAACCTTCCCGGGAACCTCCGCTATACCTGAGTCTTCGAAGCTCTTCCGCTTCAAACTGGAAGGAGCCTTCGTCACCGTCATGTTCGCAGTCGTCACTGGCTGCTCGAAAAACGACCCCGTGAACGATCCCCATATACTATCAATCTGCCCCTTGCCAACATTGCCGCCTCCCTTAGCCTCGGCACTCACCGGAGTACATGGTTCCGTTTTGCTCTCGCCCCGATCGACCTTCGTCCCAGATTCCTGCTGCCCATCCCCGGCCACCTCCTCCACTGCATCCTCTTTGATGTCCAATGCCTTATCAATTTGCTTCTGAGCCTCCTTCAGGGCGTTCTTTGCCAGATTGGCTATGCCCGTCGTATCGAACCAGCTCATCGTCGTCGTGTCTTGTAGTTCCTCCACCGTGACGACCTTGAGTGTTTTACATCACCAGAACGGAAACAACTGCTAACAGCACAAAATTTTCACCTCTTTGTTGACTTTTTACAGCAGAAAATTATTTTCGATTGACTACTTTTTCCGTCTTTGCAGGAGACACGTCAAAATTTATGTTCGGTCTTCTTCTTTGGAGAAGTTTTATCTTCTTCTTTTCTACTCTGTTTTGATGGTTTTTTATATGATTTTTATTGACAAACAGAGCACAGGGCCAGACTTAGGAAGAAAAAAGATAGGTTGGAGATTTTGAAAAGATCGATGTAAAATTTCGATATTTCAGGAGCAATTTTTGAAAACGGCACAACAGCTTTTAGAAACATAAGTTATAAGGCCCTTTATATTAGAAATACTCAGAGGAAGAGATGGGCGGATAAAACAAAATACAATTCGGCAGCAGGAATTTGTACCTAAATTATCTCCAACCCTTGCTAGAAGCTAGCATTTCACATGACTTTTATTTTTGATTCGATTTATTTGCAAAACATTGATTTATTGCATCGCAATATTTTGCACATTTCTTCCCTAATAAATTTGTTATGAATCCTGATGAATGGTGGCGTCTTAGTGGAATACCTGTATAATGAGAGAGAGAAGGATTAGTATTTTCCATTTAATTCCACTACTTTATTTGCTTATCATTGACAGATACGCGTATTTCGTCTACAATGTGCAGACTTCTTCAGTGTCTTGTACTAATACTCGGCTAATACGAGTCGAGTATTAGTACAAGACACTGTAGAAGTCTGCACATTGTAGACGAAATACGCGTATCTGTCAATGATAAGCAAATAAAGTAGTGGAATTAAATGGAAAATACTAATCCTTCTCTCTCTCATTATAAATTTGTTATGGTTATTTTGCTTAACGGCGTGTTTGGGGTCGAGGGGCGATTAAATCATCAGCTGAATTGGAAATATATTTTTTATATATCTTTATTAAGGACACTTTCAGCCCTGGGCTGGTTTGTCTCCTAATTGGAAATACACACTTTGGAAAATACATAAAAAATACGTAAATGCGTACACGCTGAAACTAAAATACCCTGATAACACTACCTCGAAAATACTTTGAAAACAAAAAATACATTTCATAATGAATTTAATACACAAATACACAAAACTTAAAAATACACGAGGGGGGCGACTCTATCTACGATGAAGGACAATTTGTGTTTGGATGTGGTTAGCGCACGCTCAGTTGATAGAAAGAAGATTGATGACGATTCTGAAGATATCCTGCAAAAATATGATGCGCGATGCAAGTCTTCTTCTTCTTCTTATTGCTTATTGCTTCTTATAGCTTATTGCATATCGCATATTAGCTTATTGCGTGCTCTCAACTTAGTGTTCTAAATGCACTTCCACAGTTACTAATTGAGAGCTTTCGATGCCTGTACCATTTTTGCATTGGTATAATTGTGTGGCAAGTCCAATCATACTTCTATGCCCAGGGAAGTCGAGAAATTTTCCAACCCGAAAAATTCCTAGACCGGACCGGGAATTGAACCCAGCCACCTCCAGCATGGTCTTGCTTTGTAGCTGTGCCTTCCCTAATAAAAATGTTATGGTTAATTTGCTTAACGACGTGTTCGGGGTATCATCCAAACCATTTGTGAAATTGTTCAATCATTTGGGTTACCGTTCGTTTATGGTTATTTTTTATTAGGGTTTACCGACTGAGCTAAGGGAGGCCCCGATGCACGATGCAAGTAGATGCGAGAAATGAAAGAAGATTTTACCGAGGATTTTTCGAAGATCGATTCGCTAGTATGAGATTTGTTGAGCATCTACACGGTAAAAAAAACATCATGTTCATGTAAAGTGATTTACTGTTGAATTTGCACTACTTGCCAAACATTGCAATTCGATGTGCAAATCCCTTGGTAGAGATCATATCGAAGCACGATGAAATCAATAGCAAATCACTTTATTTTAGAATGTATTGCACACCGTTGTTGATACTGATATCAACAATCTATCACTTTAAGCTTAAATTCTTTTTATCCTTGGATCCTTGATTTAATTTTTGCTAAAAATGGGTTTTAATAAATATATAACCTTATTCATACTGCAAGCCTTCTTATATGTTATTCAGAATATGACCATGAAATATAACCAACAATCAATACGAAACTAACGATTTTAAATTGGCTCACCACTTTAGTAGCCTATTGGTCCCAAGCAAACGATTAACGTACCCTATTCTAGTCGAAATTCTAGTACTACGCAATGTTTGTTTTGATTCGCTATGAAAGTTTGACAGATAAAATGAGGGGTTAGTGGATTTTCCTATGTTTCGAGGGGTGAATCGATTAGCTTTGGACCAGAGAGTACCAGAGCTGAGCTAAAAAGTTGAGCACGTTTCTTCGGGACCTACTTGTCTTAGAGTTACCTCTATGATATAACCAACAATCAATACGAAACTAACGATTTTAAATTGGCTCACCACTTTAGTAGCCTATTGGTCCCAAGCAAACGATTAACGTACCCTATTCTACACTATGTTTGTTTTGATTCGCTATGAAAGTTTGACAGATAACATCAGGGGTGTGTGGATTCATGCAGAACATGCAGGGGTGAGTGAAATAGCTTGGGACTGCTTGGGACCGTTGTTCTGGTACTGAGTGAGCCAAAAATAATAATGATTTTCTTCGGGACCCAGTGGTCTTAGAGTTACCTCTATGGTAGTAGTGTTGCCATGTGGTACAATCCAGTAGTAGTGGTGTTGCCATGTGGTACACTGAAAAATTGCAATAGCAGGTTAGTCACCAAAGTTTTCGAGCCGCTCCGTCTGTCACTTCGTTTGTGATTTCTATTTGCCACTAGGTTCAACCTGAGATCAATAGAAAAGCATTGTCATCGTATCCAGCTTTCCATGCTCGGTAATGGCGGCCTGTTTGTATGAAAAAATGTATCCTTCACTGTACTATCTGGAGGTTCGGATTTTGATCCCTCCCAGTCTCTCTCCCAGGAACAGAAGAAAATGGAACAACATACGCCCTCCAGTTAGTGTCAAAAAGTACAGTATAGGATACATATATTCATACAAACAGGCCGCCATTACCAAGCATGGAAAGCTGGATAGCCATATTTAAAATTTTATGTTTCCATAAAACCAAATCAAGCTCCCATCCATCTTGAATGGATCATTGAAGATGCTGAGGTTTTGACAGCACCGTACTGTGGCTACCACAGTATTTTACATTGGTTCGTCCGTATACAGTAGCGCCAAATGAAAACTGTGGTGGGTTCAAAACTCAGCCATCTAAAATGATCCATTCTCAACTTATACATTCTTATTTGAGATGATGCAATTTGCAATCTATCACGTCTACATGCAGAACCTCTGATTTGCCAAGCACATGAAGGCCTCATAAATTACGGCTAGCTATTTCCCTTCAAAGCAAAATTCTTAGATTTCATGCTGTAAATGAACTCAATTTATTAAATAAGGATTTGTATCAAGAATATATAATAAAATCACAGACAAACAGACATAACACATTGAATATTTCTCACTGTAAAACATCGTCGTTTAAACATTACCGCCATCTGTTGAGTACACTGTGGTGGGTAGTACCAACAATCAATACGAAACTAACGATTTTAAATTGGCTCACCACTTTAGTAGCCTATTGGTCCCAAGCAAACGATTAACGTACCCTATTCTAGTTGAAATTCTATTACTACACTATGTTTGTTTTGATTCGCTATGAAAGTTGACAGATAACATCAGGGGTGTGTGGATTCATGCAGAACATGCAGGGGTGAGTGACATAGCTTGGGACTGCTTGGGACCGTTGTTCTGATACTGAGTGAGCCAAAAATAATAATGATTTTCTTCGGGACCCAGTGGTCTTAGAGTTACCTCTATGGTAGTACGCTGAACAGATGGCGGTAGTGTGTAAACGTCAAACGCAAGGGAATTGACTATGCGCGCCACAGGTGGCGGTACTACCAACAATCAATACGAAACTAACGATTTTAAATTGGCTCACCACTTTAGTAGCCTATTGGTCCCAAGCAAACGATTAACGTACCCTATTCTAGTTGAAATTCTATTACTACACTATGTTTGTTTTGATTCGCTATGAAAGTTTGACAGATAACATCAGGGGTGTGTGGATTCATGCAGAACATGCAGGGGTGAGTGAAATAGCTTGGGACTGCTTGGGACCGTTGTTCTGGTACTGAGTGAGCCAAAAATAATAATGATTTTCTTCGGGACCCAGTGGTCTTAGAGTTACCTCTATGGTACTACCAACTAAGATACTTTTAAATTGACCAATAAATGCTTGTTAGATGAACATCTAGCGAGTGTTATGTCTGTTTGTCTGTGATAAAATACTTCTGATTCTCCTCCTATACGTAGGAGAGGGAAAGCAATGAGCTAGAAAATGAGCTTTTTAGAACCAGGTGAAATTCTTCTTGAAATAAGTATAGTTTTTGTCTAACCAGCAACTGCTTCTAAGCCAAAACCCTTCACTTAGCACTTTCACCAAATAGCTAAACAAATGTTTCTCTTCAGAATCGTTTAGACCTCAAGTTAAGCCTGGTACGGAGCTGAAAAGAAATTGGAAAAGGAATGTTTGAATTGAAAATATCACCTTCTACTTTCAAGATAATGATAGAGAAACGGGAAAACCAGATAAGTTGAAAAAGTCATCACTTAGTTCTGAAAGTCGTACGATGTTCCGTTTATGCTGTAGAAGGAAAAATTTATCTCTGTCCTTCCAAGACCAAAGAAACCCCCTCCTGTCCTCCCAAGACGGCTTTGTGGCATGACTCTATTCCACTCGCTCTTCGCATCCTTCTTTAGTGCGCTAGTACAACCATAGAGGTAACTCCTCGGGTAACTCTAAGACCACTGGGTCCCGAAGAAAATCATTATTATTTTTGGCTCACTCAGTACCAGAACAACGGTCCCAAGCAGTCCCAAGCTATTTCACTCACCCCTGCATGTTCTACATGAATCCACACACCCCTGATGTTATCTGTCAAACTTTCATAGCGAATCAAAACAAACATAGTGTAGTAATAGAATTTCAACTAGAATAGGGTACGTTAATCGTTTGCTTGGGACCAATAGGCTACTAAAGTGGTGAGCCAATTTAA